GAGGGCCGGTGTCCTGCAGGTTTTAGATGTGTCCTTGATCCAACACAGCTGATTTAAATGGCTAAATGTCTCCTCCTCAACATGTCTTGAAGTTCTCCAGATGCCTGGTAATGAACTAATCATTTGATTCAGGTGTGTTGGCCCAGGTTGAGATCTAAAACCTGCAGGACACCAGCCCTCGAGACCTGGAGTTGCCCACCCCTGGTATAGTCATCTGATAACCTGACGTAAGGTTTATCAAGTATTATAAAGGACAGTTATAATGTTTCATTGCTTTCATACTGCTTTAGCTCAACACCAATGTGATATTTTATTTATTTATTTTTAATTTTGGTATGTTCTTAGCTTTAAAAAGCAAGTAAAATACACAAGTGCAGATTCAAAATTATTTTTTTCTCTTGGTCTCTTGAAATACCAGTAGATGTTTCTTTAGAGCCACTCTACAAAAATATTCAATATTCGCTGAGAATCCAAACAACAGCAAGGGCAAATATGTAACAGATATAATGCCAAAATAAAATACCTGAGTGAAGCCAGATTCTTCAAAGGGCATCAAGAGAACACATCTCTGTTCAGGCGACGTGTTTGTTTGCCACTGGATAAATGCATAAAATCATTCTTTCAGCGGACCTTGTGATTAAGATGCGTCCTGAAATAATGCCTTCAGTGGTCATGCACCGCATCAGCAGGCACTGTGGTTGATCTTAAATCACCCCGGGTGCTCAGGGTGACTCCATGAGAAATGGATGTTCTCCCTGCTGAGTCCACATTTCGCCTGATGGATTGCGCTCCTTCAGATGCTATTGAATTGGTCCTGATAGAGCATCCGAACTGTCCGAGGAATATTGCGAGCCAAAAGCTGAGGGGAGCGTGGTAAGTGACATTGGCACTCACTCCTTTTTTATTTTAGAGGTATAATAGAAGAACCTTTTAGAGCTGTCTCTGTGGTGCTGTGTCCTGCCAGTCTCTTTTCATTTCTTCTGCATTACAAATGTCAGAATGAATAAGTCATCAGTCAAATCCCTGCAGCCAGACACTGATTTGATTTAGAGTAAAGCGTGCTTTATGATGTTTGGTTTTTCATTGAAGAAAAAGAAAAAAAGTAGCTGGCTTCAGTTCTCAATGGAAATGATTGAACATGATACACTGTGTCTGAGCTAGCTACGTTAAGGATGGCAATATAATACATTTTTGTGACCACCAGATATATTTTGGTCTATTCAAACAGTGGTTGCAGATAATATATAATCCTTTGTGAGGAGAACAGCCGAACAGCTGGTGAGCTGTATATATACACCTGGATGGGCTTCATCCTAATCAGGATCAGCATTTAAGAAAATTTATGGATGCACTATATTCAGGTTTTTGCATTCTGTGTTATTTTATTGCACTTTTTCTTTTTACCTTACGGTGCAATCTTGCTTTGCTGTGTTTTATTTTGAGCTGTTCTACATTATTTAAGCTATTTTTTTGCTCTAAATTGATTATAATATTTTGGCTCCTACAACACAGGGCTTTCCCAACTTTTGGATGTAAGAAGTATATCTTGTACCTAAAAGCACTAAGGGAGAAAGATGTGACTGTACCTCTCACAAAAAATCAATAAGAAGCTATACCCAGGGATTTAAACTACTCTTCTGATTGTGCGAGGTACAAAGTTATAAGACAGGATATGATAAGATAGCCTTTATTAGTCCCAGAGATGGGAAATTCACATGACAGGGCAGGAATAGATGCAGCATACCTAACAATAATACTATGCAAATATAGAAGAAAACACACACTATACAGTGCAGATGAAGATTAGCTAAACTATTACCCCACACAAATGAAAATTCACAAAATAAACTTTACTGCTTCAGATAGTGTCTGTACTTGGTTCAGTTCTGGTACAGATAATATAATTTTTTTGTTAATGTAAAGATTTCTTCTGTGCTATTTGAATAGGAGAAATTGTTTTAGTATGGACAGCTGGTTCACAAATTATTCAAGATCTAAGCAATGCCAACACAAATTATTTAATTATAATAATTTCAGCTTTGAACAGGAGCCCACAAGAACAATTATACAAGCATATGCTGCTGTGTAGATTTTTTTTTGTTCCTATTGTGAACCCTGACAATGATGGCACTCATTGTGACCCAAAAGTCTGGGAGGGTCCCGTCCTTCAGGATATGAAAATTTGTAAAACCAAAAAAGAAGACACTGTCCACCTTCTCGTTCTTAAAAAACTTAAAGTGAATAAAACAAAGTAAAATAAAGCTAAAAAAGCTTAAATCATCAAACAATCATGGTGTACACTCACTAGCCTCTTAGATAGGCACACCTTGCTTCAACCGCTTTTGCCTTAAGAATTGTCTGAATTCTTCATGGCATAGATTCAACAAGGTGCTGGAAACATTCCTGAGACTTTTTTGTCCACACTGACATGATAGCATCACACAGTTGCTGTATAGTTGTTAGCTGCACATCTGGGATATGAATCTTCTGTTCCACCACATCCCAAAGGCGCTCCATTGGCTTGGTTGGTATCATTTGAGCACAGTGACCTCATTGTTCAAGAACCCAGATTGAGACAATTTGCACTTTGTGACATGGTTCCTTATCTGGGTGGAAGCAGCCATCAGAAGATGGTTATAAAGCCATGAACATGGTCAACAACAATACTCTGATAGGCTGTGGTGTTTAAAAAAGCTCAGCTGGCACTAAAGGGCTCAAAGTCTGCCAAGAATATATCCCCCATGCCATTACACCACCACTGCCTTGAAAGCTGATACAAGGGAGGATGGATCCTTGCTTTCATGTTGTTTACTTAAAATCTGTTACTCTACTATGCAAATGTCATAGATTAGAACCAGACAAAACATAATTTTTCCAATTCCCTGACCAATTCTGATTAAAACCACATGCTCAGGCTCCTGCTATTAGCTTGTAAGCCAACAAACTTACAAGCTTGTAAGCTAGAACCTGAACACCCAGTGTGCTTCTGCCTCTGTAGCCACCTGCTTCAAGGTCCAGTGTGTTACATTCTGGGCATTATCCTCTGACATCTTGCATCAAAAAGGCATTTTTTCTTTATAGAACTGCTGTTAACTTTATATTTTCTCTTTTTCCGGCTCAAATCTGTAAATCGTAGAGAGGTTTGTGTGGGAAAATCCTATTTTTTCCTAAACAATCAGACTGGCCAATTTGGCACCAACAATCACGCTATGGTTAAAGTCACGTAAATCAATTTTTTTTTCTCTGTTATGAAGCTTGGTTTGAATTTCAGGCAGTAGTCTTGACCATGTCCTCATGCCTCTAGACATGTGATTGGCTGATTAGATATTTGTAATTACTAATCAGCAACAAGTGTGTATAGGAGTATTAAGTGTCCTGTGAGGTTATATGTGTATAGTGTATATATTCCCACAATAAACTTTCTTGCTGCCAGGATCTTTTTTGAAGAGTGCATCATTATAACACTGTCCTGTTCATCCACCGTTTCTTTATTTGTTATCATCCATAGTTTGTCACAGTGACGCAGCTTAGGACCTAAAATCTAACTTGACACATCTACATATCAGCTACTCTATACAGCGACTCACCAGAAGTTGTTGAGGAGTCAGAGATTTTCTCGGAATGGGATATAATGCGAATTGTTAAATTAATCTGCAATGCAAGGATGAAAATTACCAGCGAAGTGCAGAGAAAACGCCATGATGAAGTTACGGGAATGCTTTATCGAAGCTTACTGATGCGGTGTTCTGTGGAAATGATTCAATCTGTAATGGATGATGCGTATATCGAAAAAGAAGGGGAGGAACTGGGGGGAGAGGTGGGGTTGGCAGTGAGGTAAGAGCGCTGTGGTCCATGGATGGGAGGAGCATCATAACATTGCTTACGGGACGCAGAGCTGCGTCTCGGAACCGGACTGGGAAACCAGAACCAGTCGGCTTGGGGAAATTTTGAGTAAAAAAAAAACAAAAAACAAAACCCGGATGTGGGGAAGCAGAGCGTACTGTAGTTCTACGCTTAAGCCGTCATATATAACACTAGCGTAAGTTACGTATTTAAATGTGATGTAGCCGATAGGCACTGACTGGACAGGCGGTGAAGAGAGGTCGCTGACGGACTGTGCGCACTGCTGAGTGGACAGCAGGGTTTCTCGCTGTATATTTAAGCTTGGACGGGCTCCTGACAGCAGGTTCGCACTTCTTCTGCAGTGCAGCTCGTCATCACCATCATAACCAGATGCCCTCCGCCGGACCGGACCCGTTCAGTTTCATGCCTTCCAACCTGACCGGAGCTTGAGCCGAAGGATGCAGGTTAAAAACCAGATCTGCACAGAGCGGAGCAGCAACGACGACCCGGAGCAAGATGACAATCAGAAGAAGACCTCGTGTTTTTCCAACATTAAGATATTCCTGGTGTCGGAATGTGCTCTCATGTTGGCACAGGGCACCGTGGGCGCCTATCTGGTGAGTTTGGGGGACACAGTGTTGGTCTGAAGGAACGTCATGTTTCTCAGGTAACATGGGGTTAACGCAGCGCCCTTCAGACCGGCGCGGGCAGACAGTGAAAAAACGCTGCGCTGCTTCGGGTGCTCAGCTGCTGCGTTTAATAGCCATATTATTTTGATCACATTACTAAAATTACATCCTCCAGGAGCCACTGACTGATGACTTGCTGCGTATTATCCATCAGGCCTATGCGCCATCTGCATGTCACAAAGCGCGTCACAGCGGCAGTAGACTACGATATATGGAAAATTTTACTTGCTCATATGGATGGCCTGTTAGAGAGCAGCTTACGAAACACTGGTCAGGAGGTCCATACTGCTACACGCTCTGCACCCATATGTCTCAATAATGCAGGAGGCCTTTGACACCGGAGGATATAGGCCTAGGAGATGACGTGATCTCCACAACACAGGAGACAGCAGCTTTTTTTTTTCTCCCCCTCATTAACCAGACTGCATTTCCTGTGACAGCTTGATCAGAGTTATAAGCTGTTACTGCACTGTTATGATTAGATGTATGTCAACATAAGAGATCAAGTTTATGTTGCACGAGCACGGGAGAAAAATGTGTTTATGACTCAATAAATAAAGATTTCATCAGCCATCGCTAATGCAGGAGTGAAACGAATGACAAAGCCTTGAACTCAGCATTTAGGATAACTGTCAGCACTGGTTTTGGCTCAGCCACTTACTGGAAATCAGTTTGTTTTTTTGTTTTTTTTTTAAGAAAAAATACGCTATTGTAATCAGCATTATTTTATTTATTTATTTATTTATTTTATCAAAGCCAATTCCTTGATAAATGTCAGCACAGTCTTGATACCATAAATAACTTTGTAACAGGAAAGGAATGGAAGATATTTTTAATGAGCTTAGGAAGACAGGATCTTTTTACCTGTCTGCTAAACACACTCTGAAAGGTGCAGATAATTAGAAGCACTTCTTTGATATTAGTCAAAACAGCAAGGTTAATTTAAAAAATGGTGAGTTTAAACGTTTCATTAGAGCCAACTTTTTGGTTTAGCTTTTGTCCTTGAAGCCTGTTGTGGAGCTTTCTCATTTAAACATCCCAAACCAAAGATGCACGTTTAGCAAATATCTGCAAATAAAAGCATCACAGAACCAACATCTCTCCTGTCCTGTGACATAGTTTGCTATCACTATTTAATACTGTTTTATTGATTCACAGTGGGCTGCTAAATGTACAGCAACAGACTTGTCTCAACCTTGTCATCCAAATCTTGGAATGTTATTGAATGGAATTGTTTAATAAGTTGAGCATTCGGTGAATTTAAACAAATCTGAATAATAATCAGATGCATATGGTAGCAGATCTTGTTACTTAGTTTGCCACAGTTGAAATACATCAGTGTTTGACTCAAATCTTTTCATGTTAGTAGTTAGACAGAGACTGTACACTTTTTATGGAAGGGTGACTGTTTTCTAGCTTTCTCCAAGGACAACACCAGTACAGCATGACTTGGCTGAGGTCTTGGTACATGGATCCATCAGCAGATATATGATCCAGTTTTTGACTCTGCAGTGGAGCTCGGTGTGACAGGATAAACGATACAGCACAGAATGAAAAGCCGTTATGCATAATTCACCTGAGCTCACTTCTGTTGTGGGAATGAACATGATTCATTTGCTTTTTTTATTCGGAACTGCTCTGGGCTTATTCTTTAGTTTTGCTGTGGATGAAGGATTACTAAAATAACTTCTAGCTAGCTGTTTACCTTCAGTCTTGTAGATGATCCAATACATTTGATGCAAGGAGCCACTTTAACACTTAGGCACCTTGAACACAGCTGGCACATCTTTGTGTCCATTTAATTAGAACAGCTACGTGAAGCTTCTTGCCTTGAGCCACACATATGCACATATTCCCTTTTCCCAGGTTTGTATCAGGTTAAGCCTTGGGGACCGTCTTGGCAGCTATATAGCAGGAGGATGGAGATAGGCACATTTGCAGCTTGTGTGTTATCAACAGGTTGATATGAGCTCTAAGGTAGTGACAGATGGCTGATAGCACCTGAAGCTAAATACTCGTATTATTGTAAACAGATTTAAAATGGAAAATATATAAACTTTATACTCCCATAACTTTAATTGCAGCAATTTATAGCACAGAAACTAAACTCAAGTATATAAACTCACCTTAAACGTGTTGCTGTGATACCATTGGCTGCTAGTTGTAGCACTTGTCCTTCATCTCTCTCCCTTTTCTGTCTTTTTCTGCCAGGTAAGTGTTCTGACCACTCTGGAGAGACGCTTCAACCTCCAGAGTGCAGATGTGGGTGTCATTGCCAGCAGCTTTGAAATCGGCAACCTGGCCCTCATCCTCTTTGTCAGCTACTTTGGCGCCAAGGCTCACCGGCCCCGGCTGATTGGCTGCGGTGGCATTGTCATGGCGTTGGGGGCCTTGCTGTCAGCCCTGCCAGAGTTCCTGACTCATCAGTATGAGTACGAGGCTGGTGACTCGTGGCATGCCGAGGATGGCAGGGATGTCTGCTCCAACATCTCCAGGTCAGAGAACAGAGACTCTGGGTTTAAATGTGGTAATCGAGCCAACACCAACATGATGTACCTTCTGCTCATCGGAGCCCAGGTCCTGCTGGGCATTGGGGCAACACCTGTTCAGCCCTTAGGAGTGTCCTACATTGATGACCATGTCCACAGAAAAGACTCCTCACTGTATATAGGTGAGTCAGTGCAGAGGTAAAACACAGAACATGACTATCAAGTGTGTATTTTTTTATAGCTAGCATTTTTATTCAGTACATGAACAATGTAACTGTGGATTCTCAGGCTAATTACTGCTAGTGGCCAGATGAAGAGCTCTTTTCACTGATGCTTTGATCACAAACACCACCTCTCAGCTCCAAGCAGTCTGCTTTTTGTCCTCAGACCTCTCAAGGTGTTTTCATGCATCTCGCTTGTTGTTTTTTGTTTTGCTTTTCATACCATGTTTCTAATGCTTGATGTGAACAAAGATTGATGCTCCCAGCCGGTATCTGCTGTACATGCAAAACTTTCATGTGACAGACTCATTGCATAGTTGCATTAAAAAAAAATGTGTACAAACTCATTTGCAATCCAAGGGTGTCAAATACTGACATTTTATCAGAGTCAGTGGCATCTCACAGATATACATGGTTTCCTTTGGCACCTTGGCACGAAGCATCTGAGTTATGCAATAGTAAGACGGGGCTGTCACTCCAAATTTTTGTTGAACTGTTTTAACCCAAACCACATTCTTTTCCTCAACCGAACCAAGTCATATTTGTGCCTAAACCTCAATAGCGAGGGAAGGAAAATAAGGCCACACACGAGGTTTCAAAGAGGACATGAACCTCCTCTTCAATGACAAACTTGCAGCTTAATGGTGGATGGGATAAAAAATGGATGCAGCCAGCGTGAAGTCTCCCACAGGTTTTGGACTCTGCATTTTCATGCCTTGTGTTAGTGATTTGGCTTCTACCATGCTGTTTTATTTTTAAACCAGAATTTAATCAGTGTAGTTGGATGAAATGCTGACTTATAAAATTAACAATAACAACATTGTTTGGCAAACAGTGTCGTTACAGTGTACAAAGAAAATACTAGAATTTCACTCACCAGAATAGATGGACAAACTTGGATGGGCTGTTCCACACAGTAACCCATATAATATAGTTCGATTAAAAATGCCAATAGTACAAACACAGTGGCGAGATCTAGTTCAGTGACTCAACTTTGCAGAGGAGAGGGCTGGCAGACAAGATTCAGCTGCCTGTGTCAGGACAGCTGTCAGTCAAAACAGACACACCCCTAACTCCACTATCATATTTTTTATATATTTTTAAACATATTTTTAATGCTATTAGTTAGGCATTTTAACATTAGAGTCTATGGGGAGTAATTCAAGTGGCCATAAGAAGAACTGCAGATTTTGGCACCTTTTTTTTAGCCTGAGGGTTTTTGCTTGGTCTTAATCTTCTGTTATCCCTTGAGTCACGTAATGTGGACTGTGTAGCACTTTACAACAAGGCATTTATCTCACAGCATCCAAAATTGCTATGGCTCCAAAGAACAACGCCAAAGGAGACCTTGTACGCAGTTCCGTGACACTGGCATGATTTGATTCTCTGAGATGAGAATGCTGTTAGTAAATTTTATTAATTAAATGCTCGGTAATAGTACATTGCACTGTTGCTAAGTGTGAATTGGGCATTTGCAAAAATAGATGAGGAATATTGATTTTTTTTTTTAGATTAAATTCTGGGTCTGATGTTGCCCTCTTTCATATCTGCAGGGGTTCTTTGGCAAAGCACGCTTTCCCAACTTTAGTAAGCATTTGAAGGTCAGCAGCAAAAGGCTGTGGTTTTAGTTACAGCAGCAACCGAGAGGTCGAAATAACCCTGTGTGCCAAAGTTGCCAAGGCAACAGTTCAAAGGCAGTGACTGAAGCTATGTGCCATCCGTGTGACCTGCTAGCAGCAGAGCTCTATCTGGGCAGATGGAGAGAAAGAGAACTTAAGAAACATACATATCACTTGCTACAAAATCTAGAAATATATATGTAAAGGGCAATTTTGGTATTTTTTTCCCCCCAGTTTTTTTTCCTCTGTTTAGAGCCCACAGTCAAGTTTAATACAACTTTTATTTTGAAAGCTATGTCTTTTCATAATCTGCAGTCAAAACCATGCCACAGACACCTTTAAGCTGGTCAGCTTTCCACTCTTGTGGGTAACGGGGGCCCTTATAATCATATCAGAGAGATGCAGAAGGCACATGCCACCTAACTGGACTCTCAGCATCTTTTTATGTAGTAAGTTTAAATTGCTTCCATCAACGCTGAGGTTCTATCGCTAGACAGATCTGTCCTGTTATTAGCTGTGGTTGTTTGCTGATATAGTGATGGCATTGTTAACCTGTATATTAATGTATGCACATATTGCATGCATTTTTGTTAAATGTATGTAATATACCTGGTGTCTGCAAGCAAAACTCCCCCTTGGTGATATTCAAACTTTACTCTGCTTAAATAGGTAGGTGGGCAAAACTGCCAATGTAGTGTATATAGCCATCACACGTGGGGGCTATCCAGGCATTTAAATTATTTTCTTATATTGATCTTAATCACTTTCCTCATGTATAAATTAGAGCTCTTGTAGGTTAACCACACTTCAGTAGGATAATAAGTTGTATTTTAAATAGTATTTAAAAATACAACTTATTATCAGTTGATATCAGTTAATATATGTTTTATATTATGCATTAGTGTATCAAGAAGTATTGAAAAATTACAACTTTTTTCAGCTAGATGTGGTGTTTAGTCTGATGCAGGCATCACCAACACATTAAAGCTTTGTGATTCAATAAGGCAAAGCCGGCAGCTTATGGGTTTGTTGCTTTAATGGAAACAAAGGTACTGAGAAATAAACATATGCTGTTCGGTTTTCATTTCCCTGAAGCTACAGTAGTTGCTCCTCCTCACAAGCTCCTTGGTTTGTTGCATTTTTTTTTCTGCTTACATCTCAGCACAGACCTCTTTGCAGGGTGAGTAGGCCTGCGGATTGTTCTGTGCCTGCTTTGATCTGCACAGTCTCTGCCAGCAGACCTCGGTGTAGGGGAGGGAGGTAAGGATGGACAGAGGGTGGAGGAAAGGAAGAGAGAGCGCAGCATCGAGTAATCCACCCTTGAGTTACCCTCCTGCTTGGTCAGAGGCCTATTCATGCCAGATACCTGATGTTTTTCAGTGTAAATATAATTCATTAGCCAGATGATATCCCACTATGAACACATGATCCATGTGAACAATCACAGTCATATTTAACATCTGTGAAGTATTGTAATACCCCCTGTAAAGAAACTATAGCGATTACCAAACATTTTAGATACATTATATGTATTAACCGGACAGCACAAATCAGTATTGTCTCACGATGCTTCATGGTTACTATTCTTGTTTATTTAAATTTCCTTTAATTTGACAAAATGATGAATTTGCACACATTGTTTTGTCAATAAAATTGATTTTCATATTACAGACGAACAAAAATGCTGTTAGCCCAATACTAATGCCAACATAATAACATTTTGATGTTTAACAGGGCTGATATAATAAACACCACCTTAGTTTATCATGTTATATGGCTCACATTTACTAATTAGCGTTAAACACAAAGGACAGCAATGGCTGGCGATGATCCAAAGTATTTCATCTGTTGACGGCACAGTTCAGGGTGAAAGAAATTGTTGAGACATTTGGTCAAAACCACAAATGTCTGCCTCGGGGTGTTGCTAGAGAAAACGTCAAGAGGTTACTAAAGCCATTCGTAATCATCGTTTTTATTATAACCATTTCTTGCAATCAATCCAGTCACGACTAAGTGCCAAAACTGTCAACAAATAAAACTGTTAAAATGTGGAAAAGCGTTATGACAGAAAGAAACCCCATATCTAACTGTATCTGATGTTCTTTTAGCGCTTTTAGCTCGAAAAATGTCACATAGCTGGTCCAATTTGCTAGCCCAGATTTTGGACGTCACGCTAAACTCATTGATTTGTGAAATCTATGGCTTGACTTTTTTACTGTCATCTTTGCAAATTTTGAAAGACAACAAACTGGATAAGTGACTTCACATTGTAGTGGTTTACAGATTTACAAAACAAGTTTGAGCTTCCTGGTTTGATTCCAGGAGATAAAAAGCCCTCGGGCATCAGGAAAGGCATCTAGTCTAAAAATCTGCCAAATGAAATATGCGGAGGTACCTGCTGTGGCGACCCCTTCTAACTGACGGAGCAGCCAACAATAGGTTTAGACAATAAACTAAAGGCACCCAATTTTTTTGGCTTTAAGCTTGACTGTATGTTTTAAGTCTGCAATTTCTAAGAGTGAAATCAGAAAATTCTATTGGAAATACACCATTGAATTTGGATGCCACCAACGGTCCCCCTCTTTGGAAATATCTCGATCGTTAGATGAGAGCTATGGCTAAATATCATTTTTGGAAAATAACAGATAATAATTAGTGCCGAGATATAATGAAAAATGCATTATTATTATTGTTTATTTTATTGGTAAATGGTAAATGGTAAATGGACTGGTTCTTATATAGCGCTTTTCTACTCATCTGAGCACTCAAAGCGCTTTACACAACTATTGGTTGCTTACAGAAAGCATTTGAATTGAATTTGGACATCACTTGGCATAGCAGTGGTTTAAGCTTAGATTTCTCCTGAACGGGGTTAGCTCGAATAAATTGCACTGCAGACTAAAATTGAGCCTGATTTGGTATGAAGTCTACTTTTATGTGCCCCAGCCAAATCCGCTGCAGCCTTTTCTCTTTCATAACATCCCCCAAGCTTCTTCCTTTGACACTTACAGATAGTACTCTTATATTAGTCTTTTCTCTCCACCACCCCCTCTCTGTTCTGTCTCTGTTCTCCATTTTTTGACAATCCAGGCATGTTGATTGCCATGGTTACCTCCTACAATGTGACTGCTGTTGTGTTATTGGTATTTACACAGTACGTATGTGTTCTGCGCTCCTTTGTGTTTTCTTCTTCTAGTCTCAGGGCGGTGGTGTTGTTTGACAAGACTGACGTGTGAAGGCACATTTAGACTGTAAGAAAACCTCCTGAATAATGCAGTGTGACAGAGAAGCGGTTAGGTGTAGTTTAGCAAACATCTAACCAAATGATTAAATATTAAAGCG